CAGGTCGGAAAATTAAGTACACGTAATAGAAATAAAGTATATTTTATTCTGTTACTAAATTACCTTGCTGAAATGTATTTCTTCCTATTCTATACTCAATAATGAGCCGAATTGGGCAGGGGTTCTTCAGAATGAAGGCGCCGGCTTTAACTTGGAAAGCTTGGTACTTGGTAGACCACATAATGCTTCTTTCAGCAAACCTATTTCACTTATAGGAGTGATCAGATTTCTAGCCAGCAAGCGGTAGCTGTTAAATCGTATTCGACGAGCAGAGACAGTGAGATCCATGTTAAGCTTACTAATACACTCCTAAAATTTCACCTCTTTATAATGGGAAAACCACATGACTTCTGCTACTAAAAATAAGTCTATTACATCATTCTACCTATTTTAAGATTATGACGTAACACCTCCAATGACACCCTACACCCCTCCATCCCGATGATGTCACTATTCTATATTTAGATTATGATATCATCATTTTGATGACGTCAACCTCTGGGCTATCGTGACGTCACTGTGTCCCAGTGTCCCTTTCGCAGAACTGTCTGTTGTATACTTCTGTCAAGAAACCGTAAATGTCCTTCGTTTAGTCTTCTCAGGAATTTAGTTATTCATTTGTATCAAACTTTTCCTCCAAAACTTTGGGAAAACGAAAAAAACGTCGCCACCTCCTAGACGACCTTCAGCCACTGCGCACTAATGGCTGATAGTGTGCAATGGCTCAGCCAATCAGATAACATCATTTGCATTAGTATACTAGTAGAATTCTACTAAAACTCGACAGAAACACGGTACATGTTTTCTATTTCTTAAATATATTGTTAGATGTTTTGGCGTGTATTATCGCCGTATATTTTTACAAGTCGTGCCGAAAAATAGCAAAAATACAAACAGCTGCTGCGGTGCTGTAGTCAAGAAATTTATCAGCGAGAGAGGAATAGTGTGACACTTAAATTTAGCGACACACATATATAAGGGGGTTTCTGTTACATTTTGTGAGAGCTTTAATTTTAAGAAAGAAGGAAACATTTTACGAAAAGTGTGCCACCCTGGGGCCCTATTTTCGTAAAATCAAAAGCTCTCACAAAATGTAGCAGAACCATCTCTTATATATGTCTTTGGGTTTGGAATCTCGGCTCAGCGTGGATCACGAATATGCAAATTCGAGGTTGTTTAGCCGGGCTGTCATAAAAACGAGACACGCATGGCTGCGCGATGGGAATAGCTCGCGGGTAGGCCATTGTTCTTTCTTTGCGTGATCGAATATCGGTCGCAGAATTATTTTTCTATTGAAAAAATATTTTACCTCCGTATAAACAGCATAATGGCTGCTTGAAGATTCTCATCTGACGTGCTGGAATTGTTGTACGGATCAATTTCGCAAGAAGAAAATATAAGACAAAGGGACATGAGAGAGAGAGAGAGAGACATCGATTTTGAACTGCTTAGAAATAATTTTAGTGGATGGCTTCGTGTATGGAAAATGACTGTTCCAGAAGGCTATCCATGCAAAGCTGATCTTCTTAAATTTGCACAAAAAACAGAAACAAGATTTACTGATTTGGTTGAAAATGAAATTGCCAGATTGGCGAGTGTTAAAACACAATTTGGGTTTCTTGTTAAGTTTTCAATCAATCAGAAACAATGAGACACAATACATGGAGCATTATTTCAAACAGAATGAGCCTGTCATTCTTAACAGGAACAACGAAGCAAAATGTAATGATAAGCGAATTCTTTAACCGCTTCATTGATCAAGACAAAGGTGAAATAGAGGCATGGTCGCAAAGGGGTTCAGGTTGGGTTATTGAAGGGATTTTGGGTACATTTGTTCATGTTGCTCTATACGAACCATTTCGTGGAGGGAGCTGTTTTCCTCTCCCAAAAAAGTTTTAAAATAAGAAAGCAATCATTTACATCCAAAACAGAGACAACCAGTGTCTGCTCTCTTTCCAGCACCTAGAGGTAAAAACCCGTTAAGACCGGGGAGTCACCCCTCGGAAAACGGTCTTGATTCCAAAGGTATCGACTTCACAATACCGGTATCACAAATTGATAAACTCGAAAAACAAAACTCAAATCTTGCAATCAACGAGTTTGGCTGGGAAAATGACCATGTTATTGTTCACAGAATCAGTGGAAAAGACGGCGCTATTACACGAATAAACCTGATGCTAATACAGCAAGGTGAGAACAAGCACTACAGCTATGTAAAAAGGCTTACCGCTAGCTCTCTTGTATGATCACAACAGGCATAATGAGAGTACGCATTTCTGTGAACGTCGTTTGCATGCATGGATACGTACCAAGGAACGGATCTACTTGAAAGGCACAAACCTAAGTGCAAGGGTTGTTGGAAATACCAACAAGAGTAGAAATGCTAAAAGGGGGCGAGAACAAGGTGTCTTTCACAAACTACCATAAGCAGATGAAAGCGCCTTTCGTAATATACGCAGACTTCGAGTCTTTGTTAGGAAAGATCCACGGCTGCGATCTGCCAAAAACTCAAGGAAAACGTTTACCGTAAAAACAGAGATGCATGAGCCATGCGGGTTTGCTTAGACAATCGTAAGAAGCGATGGTGAAACGTATGGCCCCGTTAAATACAAAGGAGAAGACGTTGTTTTTGCGGTCGAAGCCGCAAAAGATGTTATTACGAGGCAATCCGATAAAAAAAAAACTTTATTGGACCACAAAAAGAAAGAAAAGTAAGAGATCAAATAGACCAATGGATCGCAAACAACCAGGAAACGTGTTTGTTCTGCGCAGAGCCTCTGTCGTTGCGAAACCACGAAGACTCAGTGACTGGACCATTGTTACATTACAGGAAAAACTCCCTGCCCCAAAAAGAGGTTGGACTTTGCCTGGACAGGATTATACCGGTCCATACAATCCTCTTGAACAACAATTAAAATACAATCCAGAAACCGGAGAGATCGTTGAAATATATCAACAGCCCACCGGCCCAACTGACGCAGTATCTAGCAACATGACGTTGATTACAGTAGCTGTGCTTTTCGTAAACAAAAACATGGTGAAAATGAGAAAAGCTGCACAAACACGGCTGAACGCAAAATGGTCAAGGCGCTTGATACAATCCCATGGAAAAAAGACAGTGGGGGCATGCATTCGCGTGTAACACCATAAATTCAAAACAAAAACTTGGTCTCGGCTACAATCATTAAGCGTGTCGGTGGAAATTAGAATTAACAAGTGGTTTTATTTGCATATTATAAAAACATGATTGTCGGTTTTCACTTGATTGCTTTTCTTGTGAATTTATTCAATTTTCACTGCGATTATATAACAAAGAAAAAATCATAAACAATATTACAAAATAATAGTAATATTAATAATAATTGTAATAACCACAATAATAATAATAATAATAATAATAATAAATCTTAGTACATAAAAAGGCAGTGAGGAAGACTAGAAGGGAACTGACGAACCATACGTGCTAGTCAACCCATTACGAAAATAAATTGTATGAATATTTAAAAGCTTAATGAATATTTTACGCCAGAGTGGGAACAAAGCGTGCGTGATATTACACGCGAGACCGTCGCTGCCCTGCTAGAGGCTGGGAAACCCCCAACTTTTGTTTCAGCACATTCCCGAGTGCTTAATTGGCGGGTTGCCTAACGATTTTTCCGCTTTCATTAAGAGACGTTGACATTTTTAAACCCAAGTTTCACAAAGTTCCTAGTTTTTCACTGAAAAATTTCACAAAAATGAAACCCGATGTGCCTTTGTTTTGTCTTTTTGCCCGGTCGTTCGTAACTAAAATTCCAAAGTTCAATTTCCTTGTTTTAACAGTCGTGCGCGAAGCAACAAGTTCAGGCTTGTTCTTTTTCACCCGCAGCCAAGGTCAGTTGCCAAGGTTATTTCAAAATATTTGTTCAACAGGAAATAATTCTGCTACTCGATGTTGTCGGTGTAATAGAATTGAAAATCGGAGGAGGGTAACAGAACCCCAATTATCTAAGTGTGTGTATTTGAAAGAGTACATGTAACGTGCAAAATACAATAGAAAGAGTTTGTACGCAATCTCCATGGACTTCATTACATAATGAACGTATCTGGACAGTGGTGAGAAGAAAATTTGCTGCTACCTTTTTTTATCTACATTTGTCGTGTATTACCGGTGATCAGTGATGGTCACTGCAGGCTTACAGGATTCGGTATTCATGCTTAAGCTTAAATGTTACATGCAAATGAGTTTTACTTAAAAGTTGTTTTTCTCACAGTGCAGCTCAAATATAAGCCAACTACGCATACGCGTATTATACGCGCGTATTTATACGCGCCCATATGCGCGTATTTATACGCGCACATATGCGCGTATATACGCGCGTATATGTCTCTTTGTTATTCATTCCCATAAGTTTCTTTAGACTAGGTTTACACTAGAGGTGATTTTTCCGGATTCGTAAATGTTTCCGGATTCATCAATTTTAGAGTATTCGGATTCGTAAGCGTTTACACTGAAAGGATGTACGGATTCCTAACCGTTTACACACGACGACAACTCCGGGAACATTCATGATGAAATTGTTAACTAGCTGCTTGTTGCCTCGACAACCAGAAACAAATGTCGCCAAAGAAAGGTTAGGGTTAGGTTGAGACAGTCTGAAGTTTTCCTTCCAATCGCTTACCACGCTATTGTTCCCAGTCATGTTGTCGCACCAGGCATTTGCCCTAATCTTATCCTGAATCGACGAGGTTTTTGATCGATCATGCCATCGTCATCTCCGATAAAGTGTGGAGGTCGGTCGTCAACATTGTTTGCGTCGATAATTCTGGTTTCTGACGAATATCATCCACCCATCATAAAAGATGGCCATCAATGGCCATCGATCTGACTACGACTATAATTCCATCGACTCCATTACAATCTCCATTACAATCTCCATTGCTAGATCCGCCATTTTGGTTCTGCCGCAAACTCGAAAGATCACAGGCGGAAAAATATCCGGATTCGAGAGAAAGCGTTTACACGACAAAACTCTCCGGGTTCAAAAGTTTTCGGATTCAATGTTCTCACTTTAAATTCCGGATTCAAAATCTCCGGAGACATGACCAAACAGGGGACTTTTTATTTCGGATTCATCCACTTATCTGTAAACGGCAAAAGCAATCCGGTAATAAAACGTTCCGGATTCGTCACGAATCGGGAGCAGTTTCCTTTAGTGTAAACCGAGTCTTATATGAAGCATTGTTGGACAGACAAAGGACATTCGAGATATGAAAAAGCGCCAGGCTCAACGCGAAATTTGCATGTGATGAAAAACGTCGATGAAAGCTTAAATATTTCGAGTTTTCGATCGCTTCCCAAGTTCACCGACAAACTACCGTTTATTAACATTTGCTTGATCTTTGAACACACTGTTTTCATTTACCGAATATCTCATGCAATGTTTACTTTGCAGTTTACGGCTGTGAACAACTCACCGGGCAAAGAATTATTTTGCAAGTAGCTAGTCCTCACAGTTTTTAAACGAAATAATCGCCTTTGGCTTTACATTGACTTCCAGCTAATTTTGAGAATAGTAAATTACGAAACTGCAAGGAAGAGTTTTGTGTTTCGCACGCGTCGGCAAATCGCTTGATAAATGATTATTGTCTGAAGCGTGCCGTGGCCTAGTCGAGGAAATGAGATCTCCGGTTCTATTTGACACAAATCGTTCATTCAAACGGTAGAAATACTCTTTCCTTAACGAACGAATTGTTTATCAAAGTTTCTACAGCGCGCCACTCACGGTTAGTCAATTATTCTTCAAGGAAATGTTCTGTGTATCGGCACGCGTCGGCAAGTCGCTTGCGAAATGTTCATTGTCTGAGGCACTCCGATAACATCTCTCGTCGAAAAAATTGTATCTCCGACTCTTTTTGACACAAATTGTGCATTCCAACGGTAAAGTGACTCTTTCCTAAAAGAAAGAATTGTAAATGAAAGTTTTTATAGTGCGCCGCTCACGTTTAGTTCATTTTCTTCAAGGAAAAGTTTTTTGTATCGGCACGCGTCGGCAAGTCGTTTGCAAAATGTTTATTGACTTCATTAGCTCCGAATAGATCTCTCGTCGAAACTGAAATGATATCTACGTTTCTATTTGGCACAAATCGTTCATCCTAGCAGTTTCCTACTCTTTTCTTGATCGAAGAATGGAGTGTTTATCAAAGTTTCCATGACATGCGGTTTACATTGAGTTTACAATTTTTTCCTGCGACTAAAAGTTCTGTGTTCTGGCAAGTGTCGGCAGGTCCCTTGCACGAACCGTGTTCATTTTCTTTCGAAAAACGTTATCTTTTGGTTGTACTTGGCACAAATTGTTTGCTCTTTGACTATGGGATTGCTGAAGTTTCTATCCCTGGTAAATTGTCTATTCAATGCCAAAATACTCTCTCTTGTAATGGAGTGCCCAATTGCAAGATGTTTGTTTCAGCTTAGTCTAGTCGTCTGAAGGCATACGCACCTATACTGTATACGCGTATTCAAAGTAAATAACATTCTCTCTCTCGCTCTGTGGCAAGATGTCAAGCCATTGAAAACAACAATGACCATTAAGAAAAGAAGAAACAATACGTTAGCTCATACATACTAATGAGGCATACGCGCATATACTGTATACGCGTATTGGGCTGACGCGAGTTACGCGTATATTTTGGTTCGCTTATATCTGAGCTGCACTGTATTCTTAAATAATGGTCAATAAATTTTTAATTGGTGACAGTGGGACAGGCTACGTAGATGTGAAATCTTTGAAGTTGACATGAGAAGAAGCACAGTATTTCCTTAAAGATGATGCAGAAATAACTTTCAATAATTCGTTCAACGACTTCATTCATTTGGCACTTCTGACCAATCGTATGCCCCACGGAGCTGTAGACATGGATGAAATTTCTCCTCTCCAATCCTCACCGGAACCTGTACCCGGAACATGTTAGTATGAATTTGTAGCATTTTTAATTTGCTTTTTAATTTGTCTTGGATTTTATTGGGGATCTGCGGGTGGCCATCAAGGAGAGCAACAAGTAGTAATATGCACAAGGAGTCGCGAGGGAAGAGGTATTTCAAGTAAGATTTCCATATGTTCACAACCCGAAAACATTGAATTGGCTCACTTTTTTATTCAAGGGTGTCTCAAAGCAGTTTCCATCACTTGGATTTTGATGGGTCTGTATAATCACTCTTTATCACTTGATGGTACAATCATGGTATCAGAAACTGCCCAATCATTAAAGAACAAGTTGTTATCATTTTCTTGACACGATAGGTTACCATAGCAACAGTATGACCAGCTAAAAACACCCTTAATTACAACTTTATGGGCTCAAAATTCAAAAACGGCATGGTGAAATTTTTTGATATTATCAAATTTTAATAAGCATGATAAGATGTAGGCTCGATTACCAGCCTAGATTAGATGCAACTTTTCACATAGTTTTAAAAAAATTCTGTACATAGGGTTCAGAGCCACCTTAAATTTTCAAAACTTTAAGGTCATGTTCTTCAACAAAATATACTTATGTACACTGGTTTTATTACTCCTAGCTATTACTGTAAACACGCTTGGGTAGCTGTGTTGAAAAAGTAGGGCAAAGCCCTTATTTATTAGTATTGTGAGTAACAATAACAGCTCAGCAAATTAATTTAAACAATTATTCCTCTTTGTAGTAAGAGATGGCACACCCACAGATGATGAATTAGAAGAACTGGGAAATGAAATTAAAGAATGGAAAAAGCTTGGGCGTCGCCTTGAGGTCAGTGAACCAAAGCTTACAGAAATATCTCAAGCTCATGAACAACTGTCTGCAAAGGTATACCACATGTTAAAGTACTGGAAACAAGGAAAAGGTTGTTCTGCAACCTACAAGACTTTGTGCAATGCATTAAAACACAAACTTGTACAGCGCCAAGACTTAGCAGAGCGGTTTTGCCACATTAATGGTAAGCATTTTCTATTAATTGCTGTTGCAGTTGGAGTCTAATAGTTATTGTGATGATGTACTCCAGATCAAGCAATCTGAATGGGGTTATTGTCGTGTTCTTAGGCAACAAAATTTACTCTTGCAGCACCTCTCTTCA